CCCAAGGACTCCAGAATCAGAAAGATCTGGGTTTACAAACTGAGACAATGATCAGCTTCTTGACTTCTCCAAATCTCAGATTCCTCATCTAAGAAATGGGGTGAGAACACTACAACACATGAGTTTGGGGAGAATGGAACTAGATATATGTAAGGTGGCTTACACAGTGTCTGGCACCATGTTTAGTAAATGACACCTGGTATTGTCCCCTGGATGCAATTTCTGCTGATCTGGCCCCTGATTTGTCTAGTTATTCCCTTAGGGCCTACTAAAGGGGCATCACAGAGCCCTTAAGCATAAATGGGGGCAGGGAGCAGTCACCTCAGCATCAGCCCTGAGCTGACAGTGCTCCTTTGTAGGATGCTACGTCTCCTGGCTTGGCTTCTCTTGGTCCCAGGATGTACTTTTGGCCTGGGACTTGCACATTTCTCCCCTGGCCTTGAGTCAAATGGCCTGTGGTGCCTCCACCAGCCCACTGTTTTTATGCTGAGGACACATGATTGTCTCTGATGGGCCTGAATGATGAGCTGATGATTTGGGTAGAGTGAGGCCAAATCCCTGTGTGGCTCCAGGGATGGGGATAAATATAGCTCAAGTAACTGCTTATGCTCTTTTAAGGACTAGAAGTCAGCTTCAGGCAAGCTGGGAAGCTCCATGACCAGGACAGCAAGGGACACAGTTCCTTTTTTTAGAGCTGTGGTCAGCACCCCCCTGTGCACTGCTGGATTCCGGACCTCTGTGACGCAATTTCTACTGAACAAAGGGGCCCCCTTCACTAGTCTACACCCCATGAAGGCAGGGATGTGTCTGAGGATCCCCCACCACATAAGGGAAAAGAACTTTAGGGCCCGAAACCCCAAGTTCACACTTACTGGCTATGGAACATTAGTTGTTTCATCTCTAAATCTCCAACCCAATGTCCGGCCCACTACAGGGGCTCAGTAAACATTCTAAATGGATAAATGAGCAGCGAGGGAGCTAGATTTTAAAAATAACTTTAGAATAAGATCTGTAGCCTAGTTAACAGTAATGGACCAATGTTAGCTTCCAGGTTTTGATACTATACAACAGCCATGTAAGATGTTACCACTGGGAAGAAACTAGGTGAAGGGTACATGGGACTATTTTTACCACTTCCCATATGTCTGTAATTAATCCAAAATAAAAAGTACAAAAAACAAGTAACCTTTAGTCAGGCTCACACCAATCCTCTGTGATATTTGGAAGAAGCAGTGCTGAAAGATGAATTAATGAAATTCCTGTCCACAGCAGTGTTTAGTTTCATCATTTATCTTTGAATTTAAACGCATGATTTATTCTTATTATTAAAAACTTTAAATGTATAAATAGACACTGTATGCTCTTTCCCTCCACTAGGTTTCCTCTCCATGGGTAACTAGTGTTGAATGTTACTTGTTTATTGTGTTAATTTTAATGAAATTGTGTGCACATACATTTATGCACTTTTGAGTGTGTATGTGTAAATATAAGTGTATTTATGTGTATATTTATATACTATTAGGTTATCTTACTTTTCTGACTTAACCATATAGCTTGAGGGTTTTCATATCAGCACACAAAGAGCTTCCTTAGCCTTTGTTATGGTTATACCCCATCATCTTTTATGACTCCCAATTGGTGGACATTTGTGTTGTTTCCAATGTTTTGGCTTTTAGGATAAAGCTGTAATGAATAATCTTGTTCATTTGTCATTTCCCAAGTGTGGGAGTGTGTTTGTAGAGTAAATTCTTAGAAGTGGAACTGGGTCAAAGGATATCAGCCTTGCAATCTTGATGATGCCAAATTGCTTTCTATATAGCTTGTTTCATTCCACACACCCGCTAATGATGTGTTTAAGAAATGCTTGTGTTAATGAAGTGATTTTAAAAGTTGGTGACCTATCTGTGAGTCTGGTAAAAGCTATGGGCCTATACACAAGAAAAAACACAACTCACACAGTGTTTTGAAGACAGTTTTAGTTGGTCCAGAGACCCCTGAAGGCTATCCGTGAACCCTAGTTTTTAATAACCCTGATTGAATGGAAGGATATATGATACATGGGAAAGAGCTTTAGAGCCAAACAGCCTAAATTCATACTTACAGGATGTGGAACAGTAGGCAAGTTGTTTCACTTCTTCAACTTTCAGTTTTATTTATTTACTAGAGGCCCAGTGCATCGGATTCATGCACCAGTGGGTCCTTTGGCCTGGCCTGCATCCTCTCACAATCCGGAACCCCTTGGGGGATGTCAAAGAGCCTGTTTTGGCCCAATCTCTCCAGGCCAGGCTGAGGAACCTCTTTGGGTCTGGGGTGCAGGTGAAGCAGATTTGGGGCCAACAGTGCCCCAGGAGCAAACTAATTCACGGCCAATTCCCAGAGAAATCAGGCTTCCTCCTCTACTGGTCGAGCGTCTGCCCCCTGGTGGTGATTGCACATCATAGCTACTGGTCAACAGTCGAATGATGTTGCTTAGGCTTTTAAATATATATATTTTCACTCTCATCTGAGGATATGTTTTATTGATTTTTTTTGAAAGAGAGGGAGAGAGAGAGAAAGAGAGAGAGAGAGAGAGAGAGAGAGAGAGAGAGAGAGAGAGAGAGAAACATCATCTGGTTGTCTCTTGTATAAGCCTAACAGGGAATTGAATCCACAACCACAACCCAGGTATGTGTTCTGACCAGGAACCAAACCCACAACCTTTTGGTGTACAGGGTGATGCTCCAACCAATTGAGCCACCAGGCAAGGGCTCAGTTTTATTTTCAATGGAGGCATATAATAATTCCATTTCATAGGATACTTGTGAGGACACATATATACCGTATTTTCCGGCGTATAAGACGACACTGTGTTCTAGTAAAAAGCCTGCTCAGATTGGCCAGAGTCAGAGAGGTGGTCTATTAAAAAAAGAACTGGTGTTGCCTCGGAAGTGGGGGGTAGTCTTATACAGCGAAAATAGGCATAAACCTATGTTTAACTGTAAAATTAGGGGGTCATCTTATACGCCGGAAAATATGGTACATACATGCATGCAGAGCATCTAATATAGTGGTTGGAACAAAGCAGGTGCTCAATATACAGTTTGTAAACACACATACACACACACACACACACACACACACACACACACACACACCCTCCCTCGCATTCAGACAAAGCCATCATTCCATTTTGAGCTGTTTCTAGTTTTCTCTGGGGTAACTCCTGCTGGATTCAAAGATCAGTCTTTGGAGCATCACTTGCCAAGTAGAGCCCAAGGATCAATAGCATAAGCATCACCCGGGGCATGAATTAAAATGCAGGTTCCTGGGTCCCACTTTAGATCCGTGGAATGAGCATTTTTGGGAGAGGAATCCAAGCAGCTTTGTATATAATACTTGGGGATTCTAACTCACAATGAAGTTGGAGAAACAATCTAAAGAGTTTGGAAAATTTCTTTTAGACCTCTACCTGCAATATTAATAGTTACCACTCTGTGGCTTTGCCAGTGGGGCCTAAACCTAGTAGATGGTCGACATAGACACTTGAGAAAAAGCATAATTAATTCCCAGGATAGTCTCTGGTTCCATCTGCAAAAATACTATTAATTATAGGTATCATGAACAGCATTTCTCAGGAATTTCTCTCATAGTAATCAGGGAGGAGAGAGAGTTCAGGACTAGGTGCCTGTGGACAGGCTGGGGCAGAGGCACAGTGGGCCAGGGTTGGTAGAGAAAGCCCATCATGACTGGGGTGACTGACCCATGGCCAGGAGCTGGGGAGCCATCACCAGGAGGGCTTGAGGCCACAGGCCTTGAAGCACCAGTTGAGCTCTCAGCATGACTGTGAATACATTCTGGGTGACATGAGATGGCCCAGGGCTAGAGTTGCCAGATTTTGCAAATGAAAATACAGGATGTGCAGTTAAATTAGAATTTTAGATTAAAAAAACCATTCATTTTTTTAGTATAAGTATGTCCCATGCAGTATTTGGGACATACTTATACTAAAAAAGTTATGTGTTGTTATCTGAAATTCATATTTAAGTGGGTGTCCTGTAATTTATCTGGCAACTCCACCCAGGGATTGTGTGAACCAGCGGTGGTTTGTGAGGTCTGAAAGGTTGGTGACCACTGGTCTGAGCTGCCTCCAACCTCAGACGAAGGCTGGAGCCTGGGCTCCATGATCTTGGCTGAGTGGGCACCACACCCAAGGGAGGTGAGGAAAGAATAAGGACAGGGTGTGGACTTCCAGGAGAGAGGCAGCCCTTCCTCACCTGTGTCTGGGAAGGAGCAGGAAATAAATCTGTGCTGATGGACACCTGTGAGATGCCTGCACTGTGCTAAGCTTTCCAATATTATTTCATTTAATTCTCCTACAACGCTATGAGTTAGGTGCAATCACTATTATTCCCATGTTAGCGGTGAGGAGACTGAGGCTGCACGATGTTAAGGAAATAAGACTGTGGAACAGGGACACAGCAATCAAAGCCCCTGGGGCTGATGCCAGGTCTCAGATTAGCTGAATCTCCCAGGCCCTTCTCTCTGGTAATCCCAAGCGTTTAAGATGGGGGCGGCCCCCACCCACAAGTCCCTGGGACAGGAAATGTTTCCAGATTCTCCTGGCTTGGGGCCAGAGTCCTGTCTAGGCTCCCATGCTTGCTGAGGAGTTCAGGCTGGGAGGCAGATCTGCAGAGTTCCCTTGGTCCCCAGCTGGCCAGGACAGTGCCCAGGGGCATGAGATGCCCAGGGGTTTTGCCATGTGCTGTGTGGGTGCCCATGGGGGGTTGGGGGGCAGGGTCAGTTGCTACCTGGCAGGCCCAGCCTGCCCTGAGCCCTGGGCCAGTCTGGTTAGCTTCCCCTGCCCTTAGCCCCCCGAGCCAGGCCGGAGGGGGCCAGAGCGGACTCCCGGAGGAGCCCTGGGCTCTAAGTCCCAGCCCCTCGGAGGAGGCGGGAGGCTGAGGCTCAGCAGCCAGAGGCTTCTCAGCTCTGAGCTCTGGAGCCAGATGTAACATTGACCTTAAATGGTAAAAGCTCCCCAGAGTGAAGAGAGGCTGGCCAGAGGAGGAACGGGGAATAACTCAGTTTTAGGTAAGTCGTGCTATATCCAAGAATAACCTGCCTCTTCAGCGGGGAAGCAGAGGGAAACTTCTCCTCCTTAAAGGTACAGGGTGCTGGGAGGGGGGCACTGACTTTAACTTTCCAAGGTGGTTGGCTTTGTTGGGTGACATTTCAGCTGACTATTTTTATGTCCTAATTTTTCAATAAGAAAGGAATTTTGCCGGTCCTAACTTAACGAAATGGTGCTGCTTTTGCTTGCTGTTGGAGAGCACGCACAGGTTATGGTAAAAACGTGGGTTCATAGGAGGTCCCCAACCCCAAATTTCCTGTGGGCCCCTTTGGGAAAATTGAGTGTCTCTAGATTATGTGAGCCTGTACCGCCTGCGCCCCCTTTACCATCCCGGCTCTGCTTAAGTGCCGCTCTCTGCCCCGCAACCACTCACCTTGTGCATGGCCCCCTTCCTCCTTGGTCCCTGTGCTGGCCTAGCCCTGTCTCCATCCTTCACCTGCCCTGTTTCTGTTCCTGCCTCTCCTGTCCTGTGGTTCGGTCACAGCTCATTTTTATCTCTGTCCCCAACTCTCCTATCTCCAGCTTTGGCCCCCTGTGCCCTAAGCCTGCTCCCTAGAGGGTGTGTGTGTGTATGTGCCCAGTCTATCCCCAAGCCCTGCTCACCTCCAGGTGCTCGGTGTCAATCTATTCCCAGAGAGAGCAGCATGGCACTGAGGCTGGTTTTCTCCAAAGGAAAGGCCAGTGGGAGCCAGAGGGGCCCAGCTGGCCTGCTCCCTTCTGCCCAGTAACCAGTGTCAGGCCTAGAGATGCTCCGTAGTGTGAGTCTGGCACCCCTGGCCGGCACTCCTGCCCCCCAGAGCCCAGCCACTGCTCTCTTAACACTCTTCAGGCTGCTCTTTGGGGGTCTCAGTGGGAAGTAGAGCAGGCCATGGGTTTGTCTGAGCTGGGTCTCCTGCAGGAAAAAGAAGGAAGCTCCCCAGAACTGTGAAGCTGGGAGCACAAGGGAGTCAGAGCCTGCTAAGGGTTCCCTTGTCCCCACCAGAGGGCAATGACAGGCTGGTGGAGCAAGTGGAGTTAACTCCCCCAACCTTACCCCAACGTTTTCATGGGGAGGCAGCTCAGGTTAAGTGGCTTGCCTAAGGTCAGAGGCTAAGGAAGAGCAGAGCTAGGGCTTTAACCCAAGTCTGTGTGGCTCTAACTCCAGTGCTCCTGCCCCTCATCCCAGATGGGAGGGAGCACTTCTGCTTTGAATATGTCTCCTGAGTTTTGATCTAATGGACAAAACAGATGTCATCATTATGTTTGTTCTGTCCATGATTCAGTGATGTGTGTGTGTGTGTGTGTGTGTGTGTGTGTGTGTGTGTGTTCACAGCTGGTGTGTCTTCCTGTGTGCTTGGTGATAAGGAGGACATTCCTGCATTCCCTCTAAGATCATCTGGGAGGTGTAATCATATGCCAGTTGCTACAACATGATCAATGATTCCCATCGATATGTTTCCGGAAGAGAAAAAAAAGCAAGCACACTGTTCTTACTATGCATCAAACGCTCTTTTAAGCTTGTCCCCTGCAGGGGTTCAAGGCTTCCACAACCCACAAAGCAGGGGCCATTACTACTGCCCTCATCTTGCAGACGTTTTAGCACAGACACGTGGCACAGCTGGCATTTGATCCCAGCCTGCCCATCTCTGGAGGCCCCGCTCACAGGCAGCACCCTCTGTTCCTCTCTGGTCGGCGTTTAAAGGAGCACCGGCCCTCCAGGACTGCGCCTGAGGCTTTCTACCTGCGGGGTCATGGGCTCCTTCCTTCAACTTCCTGCGGGTGGGGTCCCCGTGGGCACTTTCCTTCAATACTATGAGGCCCCTGTCTTCACTCTTGTTTTACAGGGAAGGACACAAGTACTAGGGGATGTTAAATGACTTCCCAAGGCCACCCGGACACAGAGCGGGGGATTTCGTATTTTAGATGAGGAGAGTGATGGTCATGTTATACCTTCTGTTTGAAACTAGTTGCTAGGTGGGGTGGGGGTGGGGCTTATGGTTTCAGGATGAGGGGTTCTGTGTGACTGTGAGAGGAAGCTGCATTCCGTGCATGGTGGGCTTAACTACATGTAGGGTTCTCAGCTTCCCAAACTGTCCCCACCCTTTCCTTTCAGTCTTGGTGATACAGGGGATCGATGCACCCACATCTCCAGTAGGAATGGGGACGGCCCCATGAAGGCAGAGGCCGTCTCATTCTCCCCTGTGCATCCTGCACCCAGAATGGCGCTGGGAGTGTACCATGCTCAGAATCTTTTTTTTTTTTTCTTATGTAGAAATGGACAGAATGCTTATACAATGTATTCTGGTTAAATAGGGCCATAATATTTGTAAGCTTGAGGGTTTATAATGTATGTAACCATGATGATCAGATCCTTCTAGTCTGGCTTCAGAGGATGCAAAGTGGGGGATTTGTGAAGAATGGGTGTAATTAGCTCTGGTTAGTTTCTCCCTAGAATTTTTTATTTGTAATTTTTACTCAAGAATTTTCCTGCTAAAACCGGTTTGGCTCAGTGGATAGAGCGTCAGCCTGTGGACTGAAGGGTCCTAGGTTCTATTCCGGTCAAGGGCATGTACCTTGGTTGCGGGCACATTCCCAGTAGTGGGCATGCAAGAGGCAACTGATCGATGACTCATCGATGTTTCTAACTCTCTCCCTTCCTCTCTGTAAAAAATCAATAAAATATATTAAAAAAATTTTTTTCCTGGTAATAAAAGTAACATATGTTCCTTATTAAATTTTCTTGGAAAATATAGAAAGTGGTATAAGTAGAAAATAAATAACTTGAAAATAAATACAAAGAAAATTTTTTAAAAATCCCTCTCAAATCCTTTTACTAAGAGATAAATACATTATTAATAATATGGTATGTTTCTTTATATGTCTTTATATTTTATGAAACTAGGATCTTACTATATGTGGTTTTATAGTCAGCTTAAAAACTTTTTTTAAAAAAGATTTGATTTTTTAGAGCAGTTATAAGTTCACAACAATATTGAATAGAAGGTGCAGAGGTTCCCTGTGCTGTCCCTCAGCCATGTTCCCTCGTTTCCACGCATGCACAGCCTCCCCATTATCAACACCCTGCACAAGAGAGGTGATCTGTTACAACTGATGAACCTACACTGCCACATCATTATTATCTAAAGTCCAAAGCTTACAGTAGGGTCCATCCTTGTGTTGTACCTTCTATGAGTTTAGACACATGTATAAAGACATGTACATACCATTACAGTATCATAGAGCATTTTCATTGCCTTAAAAATTCTCTGTGCTCCACCTCAGAGAATCAACTCTCTTCTCCTAACCTGCTGCAAGCACTGATCATTTTACTGCCTCCATAGTTTTCCTTTTCCAAAATGTCATATAATTGGCATCCTATAGTGTATAGCCTTTCCAGAATGGCTTCTTTCATGTAGTAATATGCACTTCAGGTTTTTTTCGTGGCTTGATAGCTCATTTCTTTTTAGCACTGAATAATATCCCATTGACTGATGGACCACAGCTTGTTTATATACTCACCTAAAGAAGAACATCTTAGTCTGCTTTCTAAGTGAGCATGCTATCACCATCATTTTTCCATGTCATTAAAGATACTTCAAAGTATTTTTCAATGGTTGTCTAATGTAGAGTAATGTTAGCTGTGAACAGGTTAGTCATCATTCCCCTCATTAGACATTTACAAATGTTTCTTTGGGGACAGTCTCATGATGGCCTTTCCATATGTTTATGGAATTTGGCAACTTGGCTCTCAGAGATGGGCTTTTTCTGTGTGGCCCATGGCATGGGCTGCAAGATGCTGATAAGTGGGATGCTGACTCAGCCTAAGCACGCAAACTCACATCAGAAGAATGTTGTTCCTTTTTAAGTTATTTTCAGTCCTTTGCTGAAGGAGAAAGCCTCCATCGGAGGCACCCAGGAGTGAGGGGTGGCGCAGGACTCCCAGTGCTGCAACGGGAAGTCCCGGCCAGGCGGGACAAGGGTTCCCTTGGCCTGAGCCTGGAGTACTTTCTCCATCTTTTGTATAATCGTGTGTCTCCCTTCTTGACAAAATGAGAGCAAGCCTCAGGCCCAGAGGTTTTGCTAGAACTTAGTAACTGTTTTCATTTTAATTCACTTTTACAATTCCTCTCTATTAGTGGTATAAGTGGTACTGATTTTTCCGCTTTCAGTAGAGATATGAAGTTTCCTTTTAAAATAAATGTAACAACAAGAATAACACTTAGAGTGCTTGTGTGTGGTAGGTACTGTTTTATAAAAGTAGTATAGGCCCAGTGCACGAATTCATTCACAGTTGGGATTTCTCACCCTGGCCAGCGATTGGGGCCGATTGGGGCCATCAAGTTCAGTTAAGACTGATGGGTCCAGCAGGGACTGCAGGATGTTGGCTATGGAAGCTGCACTGACCATCAGGGGCAGCTCCAGTGTTGACTGTCTGTCTCCTGATGGCCAGTGCATCATCATAGCGACCAGTAGACAGGTTGAGAAGTTGAGTGGTCATAATGGTTGCTTAGGCTTTTATATATATAGAAATTTTTATCAATTTTAGAGAGAGAGGAAACATCAATGATGAGAGAGAATAATCGATCAGCTGCCTTCTGTATACCCCACCCCTCCACTGGGATCGAGCCCACAACCAGGGCATGTGCTTTGACCAGAAATCAAGCCATGATCTCCTGGTTCATGGGCTGATGCTCAACCACTGAGCCATATCGGCTGGGTTGCTAGGTACTGTTTTAATGCGTTACCTGCAATATCTCATTTAACCCTTATAGGAATCTCCTAAAGTAGTTACCAGTATTATCCCTGTTATACAAATGGAGAAACTGAAGCACAGACAGATTAAATATCTTGCTCAACAACACAGAGCTGGTAAATGGCAGAGCTGGGATTTCAACCCTGGCTTTCTGGCTCAATTGCTAGTCAAATTGAAGAATATTAAGTCAATAGATGCATAAGTGGCACGCAGAGGTGGCAGAAACTA